CCCTGTCGGGATGCTCATATTTATAGATGTTTCAACTAATTGTAATATCACTTATTACCATAACAAAAGATTCATACATTTAATAGCTAAGAGTTAAATTTGATTTCAATGAAAATGTAAATGAATCACTTGATTAATCTCTTTATACAAATTCATTTATATTTATATTTATATTTATGTATTGCTTTCTGGATTAAACTCAGAGTATAAATCCTTAATTTCCTCAATGTTTTATAAATTAATTTAACAAAATTAAACTCGATCCTTTACGTTATGAAAATGTCTATTTTTAGTCTATTGTATATTTCAAAGTTTTTAATTAGCAAATTTTCTAATGTAGAATTTTTTATTTCAAGAGAAAAAAATATTGAATATTACAATTCTTATACACCGAGAATATTTCATGGTTCTCTTAATTAAATCAGGGAATTAATCTTAAAATTTCAGGAAATTAAACATCGATTACTTTATGTTCTTGCCACATCCAATCTAGGCAGAAAATTATCAACTTCTTATGTTTGATTAATTAAATGACATAACACTCTAATAGTGTCTAGTAGAAAAGAAAATTAAAATTTCCAATTCCAAACTCTTATAATATATCATCTCATTCTTTAAAAAAAAAAAAAATTATAATTCATCAAAAGGTAAGCTTGATCCAAAATTTCTGAAGGAATAGGTTCAAGCTCAAGAATAAGAGGCAGGCATAGGAGGAAAGCTAATAAAGGAAGAGGCACAGAGACAATGAAGAAAAAGAGAGACATGAGAGAAAAGATATACTTTGAATTTTGATCTCCTTCAAACCATCATCTCTAATCTTCTTCCTATCATTAAATTTTCGGGTCTGTACTTTAAATTTAATTAAAATATATATACAAGGACTATATTTATTAATATGTTTTAGTAACATGGTGTCAAAACTAGATTATAATATAAAAAAAAAATAGTGATAAATGAAAATTACCATAGTAATAAAATATAATAAAATAATAACTAAATCTTCTAAGCTACCGATCGCTCCAAATAGAGGAACGTACAGTTACCTCCTATATAGAAACACATACTATATAATTGTCAATAAATAATAAGTTTATCAATTATTAAACTTTTAAAATAACAGGGGGGTTAAAGCAATCAGTTAACATGATGATCATCCCATTTTTTCATAATTTCTCTATCAACAGTTATAGGTTTCTTTAGCTTTGATTCCAAGTTGACAGATCACCTGGTTTGCTCTTTATTTTGTAAGGCTACAATACATTGAGTGAAAGTCTTGCATGCATATTAGATGCCTAAAAGGGGAGATAACAAGACTGAATAAGTCAAAGAATTCCATCTGAACTAAATGGGAGGATGCTAGATGTACTCAAATCCAAACTCCTCAATCGATGTAACTATATCCAGCAATGTAGTCTTTTTTTCCGAGATTCAATCACCAATTCGACAGTGTTGGCGCACTGCACAAGTCTTCACCATCTTCATAAACACAAGGCTGAAGATGTGGGAGCAAATCTTTCAGTCAATAATAGCCTGGTAAGACCAACAGTTACAACAGTCTTAAATGGCCATGCATACTCCATTATTGACATGACAAGAATTTTATGAGTTGGGAGGTGTTTTTTTTTTTG